ATGGCCCTTCTGGAGCATTTCCCTCAGCAGAAACCTCCAGCTTCCCTGTTTCAGTTCCTTTTGCAGAGCTCCCATGGTCCAGGCCAGGATTTGGCCCTCCAGCTGGGTCACCCTCATGTGCATGAGGCAGCCTGTCTGGATTCTTAGAAGCCCTTCCTCTGGGCAATGGGTCTAGAGCCCAGGCCTGCCCCATCCTGTGGGCTCCAGCCAGCTTTGTCCATACCTCATTGCTACCTCCATACAGCTCCTTGAAGATGTTTTCTTTCCCTCACCTTGTATTCCTCTGCCATGAACTGGGAGCTGCTACATGCCCCTTACCAGCACCTTCCAGTCTCCCCAAGGCTTTCCATAAGAGCAGCTACCCTTTCCTCCCTAGCCAGCCCCTGTTTCTGCGCTTTCTTTCTCAGAAGCCCAACACACATCAGATGTGGCAGGCAGGGCTAATGGCATTTCTCATCCCCAGGCCTTCTGGCCTTTAGAGGGGCAGGCTTCCCTGCTGCATTCTGCTATAGTTTCTTTAGCAAGGCTAAGAGGATGGTATATGTTACCAGAGAAGGTCCACCCTGTGCTCCTTATGAAAGTAGGATGACTGGGCACCCAAGAGAATCAAAAGCTCAAAGGTGAACACCGAGGGAAGGGTTTCCACCCACTTTCCTCACCCAGGCTTAATTAACTTAGGAGGAACCTGCAGTCAGTGGATATTTCTGAGGCTAAGTGAACTGGATTCATAGTAGGATCATATGAGTTATATTAATATTATGTGAATAAGAATGTCCAATTTTCTGTTTGATAGGATTAAACGTTTACAAGTGATAAGGACCCTTATGTTTCAGGGCATGTTACCCTGCAGCTGACAGGGGACAGGGAGAAACTTCTCTCCCTGAGGAAATAATGTGTTCCAGCATGAGACATGGGACACTTTTTTCTGATGCTGGGGCTAACCACTGTCAGAGACTGGGCTGGCTGCACTATGGCTTGAAAGAAGCGATGTTGCCATCTCATGTCTGAGGTTTGAGGTGAACTCTGCGGAATCCAGAAATAGCTTCTACGTGCCTAACACTGGCCTTATTCCATACAGAAAACTACAACTGATTTCAATGGAAAGACCTGGCAGCAGCTGTGGGAATGGGCTCCCTGTCTGGACCATGGCACACCTGGGTAGACACATTATAAAGGCCCTGGGAACCCCCAGCTTTGCTCTTGAGACCCACCTATCCAGGTTCTTCTCCATGCAGTATTGACACCAAGAGATCACAGGCAAGAGATCACAGGAGGCTGATTGCAGAGAGAAACACAGACTTTATTGCCTCATAAATGATTCCCCTTTATCAAGGTGCCTCCCAACTTGACTTTCTATCCATTGTTACAGCTCCCTTCCCACATGTTGTCCCTGGAGCCCAGAAGCTGCAGGAGAAGGGCTGGTGTTCTGCAGACAACACCAGATCTGCATTTGATGCTTGGCCCGGTGAAGACTGTCTCTCCTCAGCATTTTCCCTCCTTGCTGTATCTGGAGGATGCTATCGACAGGAAATGGCCCTGAAACCTGTTGTTTTTGTTTACTCTGTGGTCCATGTCAGGCTGTGCTGATCAGCTGGGCTCTTTGATAACAGCTTATATTGGCTTTAAACTTCTCAGATCTCTCATGTGCTGGAAAACAGGGGCCCTCAGCCAAGTCAGTGAGGATAACGTTGCTAAGAAGTTCTGGTCTTTGCATCCTCCAGCTGCTCTCTGGCTTTGCTGAGCTAGAAGCAAAGGCGCCATGGAAGCAAGAGGTTGGTAGCTTGCCTGACAGTATTTGGAGGAGGCTAAGATATCTGGCACTGCACAGGAATATAAAGGGCTGGTGGATTCAAGGAGTGGTGGACAGGAGGTGGAGGCAGTTACATGATTTTCCTGGGCTGGTAGAGACTGGAGTTTAAAAATATCTTATGTTACCAAAGCAATGTGGGGCTAAGATCAGGGGTCCCAGCACCCTGGGGCTCCACTGAAGTCATGAGTTATGTCAGCAGGA